TGGTTTACAACGCGATTGTGATGTTTATTTGTTTTACTCAGTTGGTTTACAACGCGATTGTGATGTTTATTTGTTTTACTCAGTTGGTTTACAACGCGATTGTGATGTATATTTGTTTCACTCAGTTGGTTTACAACGGGATTGTGATGTTTATTTGTTTTACTCAGTTGGTTTACAACGGGATTGTGATGTTTATTTGTTTCACACAGTTGATTTACAACGAGATTGTGATGTATATTTGTTTCACTCAGTTGGTTTACAACGGGATTGTGATGTTTATTTGTTTTACTCAGTTGGTTTACAACGGGATTGTGATGTTTATTTGTTTTACTACTTGTAGTCTTTTTTTTACCAGAAAAACACAATATGACAAAACAGACCATGAAATCTCTTGAGTGTAAATGGAAAACAATGAGTCCAGCTGATCATCATAGATGGCGTTATGTCATTACTTAATACATGTAAGTGGTTGCGTGTTGAAGCAACATTTTGAGACCAACGTTGCTACGGTAGCTTCCTCGTCACGTGGTTACTGTTTCTTGAGATTGGTTTTCATCTAAGTTCTCACTAGTGAAATTAAATGTTTAATAACACTTCATTGGTAAGACTGTTCGATACTGGATGTTAAACGTCCCGCGTAGATTGTCAGTCTCACCAATATGGTTGGAATTGTTGGTAAACCAAACTACACTTTTTTTTTATGGTTTCATGTTTCATATAGAACACGTGGTTTGAAGTTCAGATAAAGGAATATTTCCAGAGTTCAAAGTTCCACAATATTTTTCCAATTTCTTTATTTTGTCTTAAGAGGTGATTATATAAACCTGTTAACAAAAATACATTATCACAGAAACACTTGATCGTAAGTATCTTTTAAAAAATAGGAGATTATAAATATCTCTTAAGACAAGTGATCACAGATATCTGTTAAAACAGATGGTCATAAATATCTGTTAAAACAGGTGGTCATAAATATCCGTTAAAACAGGTGGTCATAGATATCCGTTAAAACAGGTGGTCATAAATATCCGTTAAAACAGGTGGTCATAAGTAACTGTTAAGACAAGTGATCATAAATATCCGTTAAAACAGGTGGTCATAAATATCCGTTAAAACAGGTGGTCATAAATATCTGTTAAAACAGATGGTCATAAATATCTGTTAAAACAGGTGGTCATAAATATCTGTTAAAACAG